CTACGCCATAAAAGTGAAACAGATGTAAAATGTAGAATAATTTTAGACACCAAACTTCTTGAAAGTCATGTGAGCGTTGCTGATAACTTTGATATTAAGCGTTAAAATTACAATAAAACCAGATACTGTTTTGGAAGCTTGAATGAAAGAGATCTAGACGTTGACCCAATTACTATATCCGAAAGCAGATGCAAATACTTCTTCTTTTTCCCCTCCACAACGCAGAATAATAGCAGTGAATATATAACAATGCAATTCCTTCTCTCGATCTACATAAATATCGGGTTATCAAATAAATTCGTGCCATTTCTTTTTTCAGACTCAAAAGTGTTCAAAGGAACGGGAACTTTGAAGGTGGAGGACTATTACCACCACTAGGCCCTTCCTTCGCGGTTAACTCTTCTATCTTCAAATTTCTTACATAAGGTAAAATGCCAATTTCTCCTAAGCGGACGATTTTAAGTGTGTTTATTAGCTTATTCTAAACTTCTTCATTCATATCGATGCTTCACTACCTCTAGCAATGAGACTACAACTTGAAAGGATCAGTTCGCAAGGGCGAGGCCACTTTTTTCTGGATTGTGAGGAATTGTAGTTCACAATAATGGGTAATTGTCCATACCAATTGAGAAGATCATAACCATTCTTCACGGATGACCTCACATTGAGGTATGGTAGGTATGTGCGCGGTCAAAATTAGTCTGTGTGGATTGAATGGTCTACTGGGTTACTTTTACGCTGATCACGAAAATCACGTTGCCGAAAAGAAAGAAATTCTTTTTTTGGCTTAGGTAGGTATAAGCTCAAAATCATTCATTTGTCCGAAAATTTGTATAATTTCATGACTTCTGCAGAAAATGGCTTTGCCATAAGGCGGATCTGAGTTTCATGATCAGCATAATCCCCTAAATCACTTTCGGCAAATCCAACTGTCCAAAATCGGTTAACCTCTGATGTACACCTACCGATCGTGATGAATGGATACACATACTTGGGCATTTTGTGGGTTGCACCTTTCCGGAAAAATATCGATGAATTTTATTATGATTTTTGCATTCTGCAA